CTCAGCCATGAGCTATTTGGTGCTCTGTATTCGACGACAATGGTTGCAATGACGATCAACCGTGCGATGGTAGCAGGGTCGAGTCAGGTCGCGATCCGCTGCGGCTCGGGCCGTGCGACATCCTTCGGAGCCCCGCACTAGTGGAGACCACGGCAAGGCTGACTGGCAGAACCAAGCAGCCAATGAACGTGCTGCCTGGCGACAGTGGCGCCAAGGCAGACCGGCGGGACACCAATGAGACGCATGCCGGCAGTGGGATGAGGACAAAGAGCTGGCCAAGCCACAAATGATGCACAGCCATAGTCATGCTGACCTGGCCTGCAGAACTGGTCGGACTCCATGGCATCCCCATGTAATCAGCCTCGCAATCCGTGGGTGCGACAATCATGTCGTGTTAATGCACGCCATTGACCATTACAGATGCATCGGAGGCAACCTGTAGAGACTGGCTGACGGTGGAATTGTGACTACCATGTGGCGGCGGTGGCTCTGCAGGTAAGGCCCGGTTAACATTCGGATAACTCATCGCTGTGGAGGATTGAACGCCTTTCAAACGGACCCATTTTTCTTAATGGTCTGTGCGTCCAAAAGACCGAAAAGAGAGTGGAGAACAGGAATGGGGTTTCGCTCCCAGTGGTGGACTATGCCTCCAACGTCTGGATGCACAGATGCGCTTACAAACGGGCCGGTCCCATCCATCGAATCCAGAGACTTGGAGCACAGGCAATAGTCGGCACGTTTCTCACGGTGGCAACGAGCGTAGCGGAGGCGGAAGCGAGCATTGCGAGCGTGCAAGAACGGTTCTGGAGGCGGGCGATCAAGATGTGGACTAACCTGCACACCTTGCCACCAACTAACCCTCTGCGCAGCGCGACGTGCCGTATTCGCAAGTTCAGACGATATAACCGGTCACCCTTCTACCAAGTAGCAACAGCACTCAATGAGCTCCCCATGGAAGACTTGGAAACCATCAATCCGCTCACCATAGCCCCGTGGGCGGAGCGAGTACAAGCCATAATGGCCGACGAAGACGAGTCCGTGGTGTCGCGGACAGACCAACGTTGGGCAGTTCGCGTCGCAGTGAGCAGCTCAGCACGGAACGGACTAGTAGGAATCGGCGGCGCGGTCGACCTCCCAGCGTCGGTTCGGGGAGGACCGAAGGTCGAGCCGTTCTCCTTTACACTCGGCATGAGGACGGAGCAGAATCCATTCTCCGGGGAACTAGCAGCTATGGCATGTGCACTTCGGCGCCTGCCGGAGCTGCGGTACCGCAGCATCGCACTCTTGACGAGCAACAAAGCAGCGGCCCTCACACTTCGCAACCCTCACCAGCAATCCGGCCAAGAGTATGTTGCATGCATATATGACTCAATCGAAGGACTCAGACGCAAAGGAAACATGGTGGTGGTCCTGTGGATACCTACCAGCGTTGAAAACAAGCTTCTGCAGAGTGCTAAGGCGCAGGCGCGCGATGCTACCGGGGACGGTGCCATTCCGTCGCTGAAATTCCCAAGAATGCGATCGACGACGCTCAGTGTGGCTCGGTCGAATCACTGCATCGTTAAGCACATACCAGATGATGTCGGAAGGTTCTCGAAGAAAGTTGACGCTGCACTTCCAGGCAAGCATACGTTGCAGCTGTACGACGGATTGTCATGGAGAGAGGCAAACGTGCTAGCACAGCTCAGGACAGGCATGTCGAGACTAAACGGCTATCTCAACAAGATCGCAGCAGCACCATCGCAGCAATGCGCATGCGGATACGCCAAAGAGACGGTGGAGCATTTCCTGTTTCACTGCGCAAAATGGACAGAACAGCGCGCTAAAATCCTACGGAGTAGTGAGGCGCAGACGGGTAATCTCTCTTTCTGCCTCGGAGGAAAGTCACTGTCGGACGACGCAAAATGGACACCAAACATGACGGCAGTTCGAGCGACAATTCGATTTGCGATAGCCACAGGGCGGCTTGACAACAAACGAGACTGACCAGGCCATGGCCACCACCCATCCTTCTTTGCTAACTTAATTCACACCCAACACCTCGTGCCATACACAGCAGGCACCGCTTCAGTCGCCGTAGATAGGACTCTGAACACTTGAAGAATAGCCTTCAAGCTTGCTTGCTAATAATACAACCCCACGAGATCCCGTAGTCTGATAGAAATGCAGCCAGAAAGGCGGAAGAGCAAAGGAGGAATTTGGACATGACAAGGATTCTCAGGCAGCCAGGGAAGCACTGCCCAACAAGAATGTCAAATAAGCAGATAGTAGCCCTATTGGCCAAGCTGCCACCGGGCGTAATCAACTAGTGAGTGAGTGAGTGTATGGCCCGTATGAAAGGGCCATTCAAACTGGAGCTGGAAGGTAGCCACGCCACCCGCGATCACGCGCTTCAGAGCAGCATTCTGCAATGACCATTCTTCGAATCTTGCTCCGATCACGCCGCTGTTTCGGCGTCAGGTGTGCCACGCGATGTGGCAGGGCTCGGCAGCCTTCGCGGAACCATGCGTCTCTCCACTGGCATAGTTTTGGCCGCAGGGCAGGCCACGGTGGGCCTACGGCTTTGGCGGACTGTTATTGCAGCAGGCTCGGATCCTGCACCCTTTGGCGGAGCCTCCTCGGTCCATAGATATCCTCGTGCTGCAGCGCCAATGAGCTCAGAACGTGCACGTCACATTTCAAAGACGGCCGCATGGCGGCTTGACCGGGCAGGATCGTACAGGAGGGTAAACAATCATCATATGGGTAAACACGTGCCTTATGGATTATGGTGATCAAGTCTGGCCGTTCGCAATGGAGCGTCGGATGAACTAGTGTGTTAATGACAGGTGGCCAGATCTCCACGGACCAATTTATGTATTCATGTGAATAATAAGTGTAAAGCTGCGGGGCGCGCCTCTGTGAATTTCTCAGGCCTAGGCTGCCTCCTAAAGAAGAACAAGCTTTAATGCTCTATTGAGGTTCCGTTTCGGCGCTTTAGTTGCCGGGCGAGATCATCTGCCAGTTTACAGCGTCAGTGGCTTGACCCGTAGCGATGTCCACATTCACACCAGGAGCCAATGAGGGTCTAGCGATCTGTCCCGTCGCCCCAGCTTTCCCCGCATCTGATTGGTCGTCTCAGGCCTCTCGCCTGGAGATGCCACCTGAGCTGCACTTCAGTCGCCGGTGGACTGACAAGCTGCTGCCGGACATCGCAGAGGCCATCCCATAGCTACGGCGCAGTTCGTCAAACTGGGGATCCAATAGATCCGCGCCCGGCAGCTGACTAATAATTCCGCGCCCCCCTGCTCCCACACCATCCTCCCTTCACGCAACGGGGCCACTCAGGGGCTCGGGGACCACTGCTACCGCGATAGCCTCGACGCCATGGCCCAAGCAGTGTTTCCCAACGATGCGCTCCCACCAGAGGGTACATACAATTCACGAGAGTCCCTTCTCGAAACCATCAATTCATGGGCAAAGCCAAGAGGTTATGCATTCACCACAGGGAAATCCTCCAAGACATCCAATGGACGAGTCAAGGTCGTGTTTGCCTGTGATCGCAACGGGCAACCGCCCAGTACATCCACCGAACGAAAACGCCGTACGTGTACCCGAGGAATAGGGTGCAAGTTCTCAGTTCTTGCCAAACAATCATTGGATGGGAATTCATGGACACTACGCCATCGACCAGACCAGGGGTGCTCCGAGCATAATCACCAACCGAGCCAAGACCCATCTGCCCACCCAGCACATCGACACCTGACGCGCAACGATCGATGTACCGTTACCAGCCTCGCAAATGCTGGAATTGCACCCAAAGATATCAGGACATATTTACGCCAGAACTCCGTTACAATTGCAACACAGCAAGACATCTACAATCGCATTGCAGAGAGCAAACGAGAGCTGTGTGAGGGCCAGAGTACAATCCAGGCCCTTGCCAACCAGCTAGACAACGAAGGGTTCTGGTGCCGGATGCAGCTTGATTCGGATGGTCGGGTAACCGCAGTCTTATTTGCCCACCCAGACTCGTTGGCGTACCTTCAGGCTTACCCGGATCTACTCTTCCTGGACTGCACGTACAAGACAAACAGATACGGCATGCCACTTCTTGACATGATTGGAGTTGATGCCTGCGAGCGATCCTTTTGCATTGCCTTCGCATTTTTGAGCGGCGAGACAGAGGAAGATTATATCTGGGCCCTGGACAGGTTGCGATCTGTGTACGAGACCTGTGGCGCCAGGCTCCCCTCTGTTATCTTGACAGATCGTTGTATCGCCTGTTTGAACGCTGTGTCTTTCTGCTTCCCATTGGCAATCTCACTGCTTTGCCTTTGGCATGCTAACAAGGCAGTCCTCCGCTATTGCAAACCCACGTTTACTTGCCACAAAGAGGGATCAGAGGCATACAAGCAAGGCGAGGCAAATTGGAACGACTTCTTCAGTCACTGGCATGCAATTGTCGGATCCGCAGATGAGGAGACTTTTGGTCAGCGCGTACAAGAGATGGAAAAGCGCTATGTGCCACAGTATCTTGAAGAGGTTGGATACATCAAGGCAAATTGGCTTGATCTGCGTAAGGAAAAACTTGTCAAGGCTTGGGTCGACCAGCATCCCCATTTTGGCAATGTGGTTACCTCGCGTGTTGAGGGTATCCATGCGTTACTCAAGTCCCATCTCAAGAAATCCACCCTTGATCTCTTCGAGGCTTGGAGGGCCATGAAGCAGGCACTGCTCAATCAGCTTGCTGAACTACAGTACAACCAAGCCAAACAGCAAATCCGGATACCGATTGAGCTCTCCGGATTACTTTACAGTGCTGTACGTGGCTGGATATCTCATGAGGCATTGCGCAAGGTTGAAGAACAGCAGCGCTGCTCTCAATTCAATCAAGTCAATTCTGGGGGGTCTCGATTGGATGATTGACACATCGTTCGGCCTCGGCTTGATTGACTTGGCTGGATTGATTCTGCTTGAAAGTGCAGTCTGGCTCAGGTAGGTTCTGGGTCTATCCTACACTACTCCTCGCCAATTGCTCCGCGATTGTTGAAGTAGAGCCCACCCAACGTGACTGCATCCCGTCGAATCCAGTTCTTGAGACATTGAACTTTCTCTAGCGTGGATGGCTCCATTGAGAGCCGCTGACTTGTCAATGTAAGCTTGGCAAGACTGAAGGCTCTCTCGCAATCGGCGGCCATCGCCGGAATAGCGAATACATCCAGAGCCAGTTGACTCAGCGTTGGGAATGACAATCTGCGGTCCATCCACCATTGAATAGGGTCGTCTATTGGCACAGGCAGCTCAAGGCGAAAATATCGCTCGAGCTCCGTGCTCTCGTCTGCAAGTCGCTCCGTCCTGCTATTGAGCCACTGCTCATATGCGGACTCCTCCCGCCTCGGGCCGGCAGAACAGTCGGTGCGGCGTGGGATCGCTGGATAATTCAGTGACCCCTCTGCGCCAGGTTCTGCGCTGTTGTCGCGGTACCAGGCCATCCAAAACCTCTCCAGACCATCCTTCGCATCACGAAGCCAGCCCTGCTGCTCGTCGCTGCTCCAGCGATCTTCGAGCCAGCGGATGCTGCGTCCTGGATGAAGAATTACCGCAGCAGCAAACAACGGCGAGCTGCCCAGCTTGGTATAATACTCATTTAGCTTCTGCCAAGCGTTGGTTATGGAAAGACGAATGTAACATTTCGAGTCCTCGCGGAGCGAGGCAAGTCGGTCGGCTCGGCCTGACATGAAGTCGGCTCTTGTATGGAGTGGGAGGTGGTCCATCGATGGTTCCTCCGCACCCTTCATCGGGGCAGGTTGTGATGCTTGAGGCCCTTTCCGCCGGCTTGACCCATCGTAGAGTTGAAGAGCCCGGTATTGCTCGACCGCGCCGCCAGCCGGATCATTAAAGTAGGCATTCCAGTCCTCCAGTTGATCAAGAAGATACTCCATTCCGGTCATTATCTCCCAGACGTATCCATGGCTTCCTCTCTGGCCCCAGCCTTGACATCTCATCGTTTGGAAGTAAAGTGGGGCAAGGATCTCCTTGAGCTCAACGAGAAGACGCCAGTCTTCGGGATGCAGAACGTCTTCAGCGGGCAGCCGCTTTGATGCGTCCTCCTCCATCTGGTTCTCTATCAAGAAGGTCTGGAGATGTCCCTGCTTCCTGAGTGCCCTTTCGATCATTTGGTATGTAGAGTTCCACCGAGTCTCATTGCTAAGGATCAGCTGCAACTCTCTGCTCGATTCTTGGTGGATCAACCAGGCGTCCTGATCATCGGCTTCACTAGCCAGTGTCTGGAATCGCTCGCTTCGTTGAGGCGACGCTCGAATGAACTTGATGATGTTGCGCAGCCTGCCCACGGGGCCACGACGTCTCCAGTGTCGCAGGTCGTCTTCAATGAGGTCGGCGTCGAGTAGACGCTGACTTTCTTGCTCGAAAGTCTCGCCGTCTTCGCCATATAGGAAAGCTCTGCCGACAAGGTTGAGTATGTGGCCGTAACACCTCATGCGCCGCTCCACACGGTCGCCCTGCGTCAAAGCAGGTTCAATGGCGCGGAAGAAGTGATCCGCACAGGTATCGTTGTTCGTCGCATTATCAGAAACCAAAGTACCGATCATGTCTTCGATCTGCCAATCTTCCACGACCCTCCGAAGGGTGTGTGCGATGTTCTCACCAGCATGAGGCCCAGGCTGGCGAGTAAGCGCCAGCAGGCGTTGTTGTTGACGCCCTTCCTTGTCCAGAAAGTGCCCTGACACAGCGACGATTGCATATCGATTCGGAGACGTCCAAAGGTCAAAGGCAACATGTATTTTCGTTATGGCTTCGCGCAATGACTGTTGCACGAGGCACTTTTTGCTGTCAAACACCACCTCGAGCTGCCTTCGCTGGCTGCTCCGGGACCATGGAATTTGTGAAAACAGGTCTTGATCAAACTGCTGCAAAAGTTCTCGGAGATAACGGTCGTCGAAGACACCGAAAGGTTGGTCCGTATTAACGATGAAGCCACAGGCGAGCTCCTGCACCTTCGTCGATTGTGTCTTCGGTATTGGGGAGGTCCTCGGTCGCTTGCGAGGCCGAGCGTCCTCACAATCGGAGCTGGTCAATGGCCCATCGGGGGGGGAATATTCGGTGCCTGTTTTGAGATGGCTCATAGCACCAGAGGTTGCGTTCGTGCTGTATACTGTCTCGAGTTTGCGTCGCTCGTCGCAGATGCTGCAAACCCACAGCCTTTCTGCTGAGCCATGGTCAGCACGTTGCATCACATAATGATGATCACGTCCAATACCAGACGCATTGCCTCTCTTGATTTCCCTCACAAAGACTCCATGATCTTTTATCCAAGTCTTTGGCGCCCGCGAACCCTTCTTCCAGAGAAGCTCATCTTGGACGAATCGTCGACCCCGCCAGGTCGCAATGGGCAGGCCGTCGAAGCTGTCGGATGTCGGTGAATCACTGGACGCATTGAATTGAGCGGCCAGGCTAGCTGTACGACGAGATCCAAAAATCGTCAACGCCATCTGAAAGTCGAAAGACTGTACTCGGGGGGATGGATGGATCGTGATGACGCGTTCCCACGTAGGTGGGAGGATCACGAGTAGCGGTGAGCATAACACGCGCCGGGCGCAACAATCCCTTCCCAGCTTACGCGATGGAGCTACCCTACAGCATGAAGGGGAGAACAGGGCTAATCTAAATCATCCTTCCCTGCATTTTTACTTTCTTGGCATGCAACTGTTAAGAAAGTAGCCCAATACACACCTTATCCCTTAACAAGTACACCGTAATCCGCCCATCCCGCGCTCTGCGCAGCCGGCGGCGGCGGCGGCGATGGCATCGGCCTCGTCCAGCCCGCCTCATAATGATGATCCTTTCGATCTGGG